TAGAATTTACGAAAATCAAAATGCGTGTCGAATCGCGCTGCCCCGCGGGCCGACTGATACACCAAAACGATCGCCGTCACTCGATTCGACATTTTCGATACTTATTTACACGCGAGATTCACTTCGACGGATAAAAAGACGCACGCGATGAATGTGAAGCGGTCGAGAAACACCGTACGAGACCCGATAAGAGTTACGTCTGTGAAACGCCGTGAAGTGGCGCGGATTGTTCACGTCGATTCTAGAAAATATCGAGCCTTCATTATCGCACAATAATTAGATATGAATTGTTATTTATAGCCGAGCCATGAAAAGAAAATCATCAGTAGTTTGCAAGCAACAGCTGATTTTAGCAATTTGAGGATATTATAAAGATGCGATTAGAAGCTTCGATATCCCGCACCGTGTACATGCCTGATGGAAAATCTGCCGATGACTCGACATATCACGTCATATTGTCATGTCACGTCTCATTATGCCACATTTCGTGATCATATCCATATCATAAATACAAACGCACAATTTCATCAAATAAACTCCATGCAATCGTAATATTACTTGTGTGTCGACAGATTAATCAATGTAGACGAGTTGATAGCAATACTATTTATGCGCTGATAATGCGATACCTGATGCGAAAAGCATGCTACGGGAGAAATATGCAATTATATAAGAGATAAGCGATAATGCATGATGCATGCAGCAACGCGAAAAGTATCTATGATAGCTATGATTATCGTTTATATTCGTTCTGTCGATTAGAAGCCTCATTGCTATAGATAATGCCGTTAGATAATATCGATAATATATCCTTACAATTACAAGACTTGTTTGTCTCGTCAGGTTCGAATTACAATTTTAAGTTATTACGAATTATCTTGAAAATAAGCTTGAAGTTCAGAACAACACAAGAAAATTATCGAAATGTATTATGCATAAGATGAATTTATCATGTCGGTAATGCGAATGTATGACATATTTTTTTCAGTTGAATTCTATTCAAGTGTAATATAATTGTTCATTAATGATAAATAGACAGCATTGAACTAATGGATTTATCGTATGTTATCGGCTTTGCTTTCAATTCTTTGAATATAATTTCAATATATCATTTATCTATAAACACATCCGAAATTTGAAATCTTTTAAAATATACAGTTATATAATATTCATTCATTACTTATATCTATATATTGAATTCAATTTTTAATAAGCGAAAAAATGTTAGCAAGGAAAATTTTACACAACTATGATAAGATTTTGACATTAATTTTCTATATAAATATTAAATATCACATTTAAGAAAATTTACTCTCAATTAGTACAATTGTATATTTTATTTAAAAAATTAAAATTCAGATATATTTTGATAAAAATTCTAAACGATATATATTTTTCGAAGTTTATATTAACTTTACGAAAATATTACGCAACAACATTAGTGTCAATATGTAAATGAATTGCTCAATTTGGTATAAATAGACTGATTATTTCATTTACCAGTTATATTGTTACTGTTGCTGTTACTCCTGCTATTGCTACTGATACTACTGCTGCTGCTGCCGCTGCAGTTGCTGTACTCCCTTTCCGATTGATCCTGATAATATAATTATTCATTATTTATTGAGCCACTAATTTAAAAATATGTAAAATTGATCAAATGTTTTATATATAATTTTTTGTTATCCTCTTACATATACTCTACATATACTATTATCTCTATTAGTATTATTATTATAATTATTATATTCTCTTAATTTTTTAATGTAATAAAACACGCAAAACAATATTTTAACTATTTTTTGTATTTAAATAAATACAGAGAAATATTTGTTCATTTGTATCTATACGCATAGTTGGCGCTTAGAAAATCAAAAAGTACGGAGCCAAGAGATATCTGACAGAAAGTTAAGTAACAACAATCATAATGCAGTGAAAAAACGATAGCGAGCCGGAGTGTGACGTCACATGACGTCACCACGTAGCCAGGTAGCGGCAAGAGCCATTTGAAATAACGCATGCGTGAATACAACGGATAGAGACGAAGCAGTTTGCTTTCGTTCGAGAATTTCGTACCTAACACGAGTTAATTTATATCGCACAACGATTAACCATGTTTCATTCGACATTCTCGACATTATTCCACCCGCTACCGCACAGATAACGCTCTTATTCGAGCAAATTCGCGCGCGAGAACTTGCCTCGGAGCGACGCGACGCTACACTTTACGAACGAGCACGAGATAATTTCTACACACGGCACAATATACATACAACACTTACGTATCAAGACGATCGTCCGCTTCCACATTTGGCACTTCCGATGTCGTATCTGTGCACTCGGATACGAAATACGTGAGAAGCACGGCGTCCGTGCGCGGTACGACCAGAGGCAAGACGGGAACAAACATGGCGGTCACTGCGCCGCGCGGCAATGAGAAGCAAGAGTGGGGCTGCCGGCGGCGGCGATGACACGGCCGCGCCTGCGCATGGCGCCACGCAGTGGCGTGACTCGGAGGCTCGTACGCGGTTACGTCGGTAACACAGGACGAGAGACGAAATCGGTTCAAACTCCCGTTCAAGAATTTCTCGTGTCTAATTAACATTCGAGTTAAATGATGCCGCGCGATGATTAGCCGTGTTTTCATTCAATGTTCTCGATATTATTCTATCACACGGACAATGCATTCTTTCCGAGAGTGAATTGTATTGTAATAATTATTATTTATAATTAAATTCATTGTGTTATATCGTTAGTATGTATGTAGTATGTACATACATCAAACATCGCAATATATTAATCGCTGATTCGTTATATATTAACGTTATCGTATTTCAATTAATAAAAATACGAACTAAGCCATGGCTATTAAGTGTATGATATTTAGATATTTGGACAAAATCCGAAATAACGAGACAGTTGATGATGAAATTAACTGTCACATTCAGATTTTTATGTTAAGAGAAAATTCTTGAAAGAATTAGGCATTCTTAGAGTAATCTAGAGTATTTCCAGTATGCTTTGAACAAATCCTTCGAGATACTGGAAATACTCTAGATTACTCTAAAAATGCCTAATTCTTTCAAGAATTTTCTCTTAACATAAAAATCTGAATGTGACATAGTTAATTTCATCATTAACTGTCTCGTTATTTCGGATTTTGTCCAAATATCTAAATATCATACGCTTAGCTATTATATATAGTTCGTATTTTTGAAAAGAAAGGTACTTAATCGCGAATTTTCTCTTAACATAAAAATCTGAATGTGACATAATTAATTTCATCATCAACTGTCTCGTTATTACAGATTTTGTCCAAATGTCCTGCAAATATCATACGCTTAGCCATTGCATAGTTCGTATTTTTGAAAAGGAAGGTACTTAATCGCGAATTTTCTCTTAACATAAAAATCTGAATGTGACATAATTAATTTCATCATCAACTGTCTCGTTATTGCGGATTTTGTCCAAATATCGTACACTTAGCCATTGCATAGTTCATATTTTTGAAAAGGAAGGTACTTACTTAATCGCGATCGATACTTTGAAAATCGCAATATGATTCGGCCGCTCTGATTGGTGCTGATTGCCGCACGGCACCTCGTTTCGAGAATCGCAAGCGTTTCAAATCGAGTCAACGGAACGCGACGCGACGCGACGGACGCTTCGAATTTCGGGAGTCGGGCGTTCCGTGTTTTCGGCAATTTCGGCCCGCCGAAGGCAAGCCTCGCGCGCGAGTTGTCGTCGGGAGTGCCGAGAATAAAGTCGCACGTTCGCGAGCTCGTACGTGGCTCTCGGGCGATCGTCGAGAGAGCGACGCGACGCGAAGTCTCGCCGGCGAGCGGTCGTCGGGCGGTTAGTCGGCGCGTACGCGGAGCGCGGCGTCACGATTTCGCCGCGTCTCGCGCCGAAAATGAGCATCGCGAGTTGACTGTCATCTCGGGATCGCCGAACGGAGCATCAGCGTGTTCGTCGCGGAGCATCGATCGCGATCGCCATTAATCGCCATTAGATGACCGTTGGACACCATTAATCTCGCGTTAACCGCCATTAATCGCGCAACATGCAGTTCTCATCCGCAGTTGCATTTCTCATCGCGATAATCGGTTATGGGGCCGGCCGGCCGGCCCCTAATTACGCCACCGTGTACCAATGCACAGTGGCGCGATCAAATCGCGATCAAACGACCGGTCGCCTTCGCGTCGGTCGGGACGTCGAGTACGCCGATTGAAGTGCGCCGTGCGTTCGCGTTGCTAAACGTCGCGATTATCTCCGTGCGTCTTGTCATGACATGGCCATCCGATCGGCCAAGTAACTCCGGCTCGAACGATCCTTACTCCGAAATCAGTGCATCTCGCGGGCGCGCGAGCTGTCGTCGGCGTCGTCGCCGACGACCGACGTCGTGTGCGATGCAGCATATGTGATCAAGTGCATGGTGAAAAGGCAGTGTATAATAAAGCCTGTAATGTGATATATAGTGCATTCGTGTGTCAAGTGTTGTTGCCCAATTGGATTACGTCGATGGATCCATTTGGAGTATCGTCCGTCAACGATGGAGCAAGTGATGGAGGTAAACGATTGGAGCGACGCTGGGACGGCCGGGACGCATCGACGCAGGATCTCGTCGCTGCGGAATGGTAAGTGCTGGATCTTCATTTCGTTATTATCGACGAAGCAGTTGGTAACTATCGGAAACTGCAACAGATGGCGGGTGCTAGAATTTTTGTGTCGATTAGTTTCGCGAGCTAATAGAGGTTATGGTACCACTCTATCGTCTATAATCTGTATCCTCTTCGTGCCGAGAATTGATTCCCGTCGCGTTGATCCGTTCCCGGAAATTTTATTCCGATGTCTATCTAGACTATCTTCTCGAAATATTAAGAATACCTACATTGTCTGAATCGATTGCGAGTTGAAACAGACGCACAAAATGTGGAAACATGATCGCAACATCAAATTCTTTTTCTTATCGAGTTGTGATTAAAAAAAACATGAAATAATACTTGGCGAAGAATATTTTATATTAAATTATCTTTTAAAATAATTATATAAATTATCGATTATAGCACAATCGGAGATTGCAAGTTACAACAAATATTTCGGTGTCTTAAAACTATACTGTGATTGTATCCATCATTATTACAATCATGACATATAAATTATATAATGGAAAAAATAGATATGCATAAATATAAAAGGAGAGTTTATTTAATTATCTTATTTTAAAATTTTGTGATTTGCACGATTTTATAAAAGATTTCATCCAGAAAGTCACTCACGCGTTCTTCACAGAACCTTTCACAATTTTAACATCGTCCACCGGTCGATCGTTCTTATCCGTCTCAACTAGTCCAATTCTTTTTACTATTGCCATGCCAGAATGAACTCTACCTGTTATTAAGTAAAAAAATTTAATTAAAGATCTATTAAACTAAAATAATTAATTAATTAAAGATATTTTAGTTACATATGATGAACAATTGCAACAATTACATCGTAAATAGGTGCAGCTAATTTGCTATAACTTACCAAATATAGAATGTTTTCCATCGAGCCACTGAGTAGGTGCGAGCGTTATGAAGAACTGCGATCCATTTGTATCTGGCCCTGAATTTGCCATTGATAATATTCCAGCACCTATATAAATTTTAATACATATGAATTTTCACATAATTGAAGTACTTGCATTAAAGCAGCGTTATTAGATCTGTTTCCTATTCCTGTACTAGGCTAGAACTTTCTCGCTTTTGCCAAACATGAAACATTTACCTGTTCCACTTTAAATGCAAAGAGTGTACGCTAGTTCAGGTATAGAAAGGACCCATTTATCAATCGTTTGTAGTAATAATTTATCACAAAATTACCTGTGTGTTTCAAATCATCATGTATCTCATCGTCGAAACATTCTCCATATATAGACACCCCACCTTTCCCTGTCCCAGTGGGATCTCCACCTGAAAAAAAAAAATGAAACCATTGAGAATAAAAATTTCTGTGAAACCTATCCGTTATCGTTACAAGCTTCTAAGGTTTTAGCGTTACCTTGAATCATAAAGTCGCGGATGACCCTGTGAAACTTGGTGCCGTTGTAATACCCGCGCCGCGTGAGCTCGGCGAAATTTCTGCACGTGATAGGGGCATGTTTCCAGTACAGCTCGAGGGTCATTTCACCCATCCTGAGGATTAGAATCGATTAGCGACACACAGGGAGCGAGTTTTAAGTTAGGAAACACGCGATGCACTTACGAAGTCTCGAGGACAACGAACGGTGGCTGCCAGTGTTTATCCGGCACGCCGGATATGTTCGCGAGGCACATTGTGGACTGTATTTTCGGGCCGTTTGTTGAAACTGATTGAACAACGAATTACCCCGCGATCGTTCACTCCTTCGTTTATCTCATTAAAATTTTTCGCCCAAAACCGGTAGTCGCTTCAACGCTACCGACAACGTTAGGAGCTCTCGGAGCTCGGAGCAGTGCAGTCGAAGCTCTAGTGCCTCTAGTAGACATAACACACATACACAAACGTTACATGGGTGAGTGTGATGATGTGTGAGAGCACGTGAACGCCATCTGCTTCATGTGCAGGGTACACGTTAACAAAGCAATAATAATATGAATTTAATGAAAATGTAAAAAAACGCGTTGAATATACACTTGCACAAATCATATAAATGAGGACCTCCGCATGTTTGGCTGATTCGTCGCAGTGTCGTACTTTAAGCGTTCTGGCAGTACAACCGATTACCGCACGTGCCGGAACGAGTTAACCTGCATGAAAATATGTTCTCGCCAAGAGACTCGGGTAAATCAGATTACATTAGTTTAAATATTCATGAGAGCGGGTCGTTCGCACGGGGCACCTCGCGCAGTTTATGGAGGGTATGTATATCTTCGATGAAAAATAACACGAACGTATCGTTACTTCGAGTCTAACACGACTGAGATTACCGTACAGTTGTCCCTCATTCGGCTACTTGTCTCTCTCTCTCTCTCTTGCAGCAATGGAACCAGTTGTCCAGGTTTCAAAGAAATATTCTATACTTCGCAATAATCACAGTTGTACTTGTAATATTTTATCTCCTGCCTAGCGAAACCAAAGCTGGTACCTCTAACAATGAGGTAGATTATAGTAACGTAGAAGTTGTACAAGAAACTGCCAAGTACGAGAAGGTACGCGAAGGTATATCTCGAAGGTAGCTCTCGAATCTGACAAAAGGTGTCAAATCCTCTTTTATTTCGCAGGCAGTAGACGAGGTTGTTGTAGATAATGAGGAACATGGTGCTGCACCTGGTGAGGTAATCGAGGAGCCTGAGTTTCAACCAGAAATCAATCAAGTTGATGGTGATCAAATTGGCGAGCCACCACAGCCAAAGCCAAACATCCTGAAATTTAGTGGTAGATTATAATTCGTGAAATGATGATATGACAGATGAATTTTAGATTTAGATTACAATAGACGTTATTAACGAGCTTGGACTTTTAGGTCCGCAAAATAGTAGGCAGGAAGCTGTTGTAGCTGCGTTTAAGCATTCCTGGAATGGGTATAAAAAGTATGCATGGGGTCACGATAACGTCAAACCGATATCGAAGAGATATCATGAATGGTTTGGCTTAGGCCTTACTATAGTTGATTCATTGGATACTATATATATAATGGGATTATATGATGGTGTGTATTAAACTTTAAAATGTCTAATATTAGTAGTGAAAGGAACACATGAAAGAGAAGTTTTCTTATACAATGTTTCAGAATATGCAAGAGCGAGAAAGTGGGTGGAAGAGAATCTAGTGTTTACAATGAATAGAGATGTTAATTTATTTGAAGTTACAATTAGAGTATTAGGTGGTTTACTAGCGACGTATCATCTCTCTGGTGATATACTTTTTTTAAATAAGGCTGTAAGTATTGGAAAAAATTCGGTTGATTTTCAAAAACGTGATTGTCCAAAGATAAATATTAATTATACAATTTATCGGCGTCCAAGATGGATTTAGGTGATCGCATGATGCCAGCATTTTCTACGAGATCAGGCGTTCCATATTCCGACGTGAATCTCGGTACTAGAAGTGCGCATAGTCCCAAGTGGGGTCCTGACAGTAGCACGAGTGAAGTCACTTCCATCCAACTAGAGTTTCGCGATCTTAGTCGTAGTACAGGACAACTTAAGTTTGAGGTAATTTTAGAATCGCGCGACTCTTTTGAGGCAGGTGTATTTAGTATGTGACGGATATTTAATATGTGACCTTTTCAGACTGCAGCGGCAAAAGTTTCCGAACATGTACATAAATTAGAAAAGTATGATGGTTTAGTTCCAATTTTTATTAACGCCAATACCGGGCTGTTTCGAGAGTACGCTACGATTACGTTAGGTGCTCGCGGTGATAGTTACTATGAATACTTACTGAAACAGTGGTTGCAAACTGGAAAAACCATAGACTAGTTAGTATATTTTGTTATCGAAACTGTAATCATACGGAATAAGTCTTTAACCTCTTTATCATTGAAATTTTTAGCCTACGCGACGATTACTTGTTAGGCATCGCCGGCACTCAAAAGCATCTCGTTAAGCACACTGCGATCAATAAATATCTATTCATCGCCGAACTGGTCGGCGCGAATAAAGAAATCAAACCTAAAATGGTAAATAGACTGAACACGAAGTAAACTGAAATCGATATATTGCGCAAATTTGCGAGTGTATAAATATGCATTGTAGGATCACCTCACGTGCTACTTAGGAGGTACTTTAGTGTTAGGCGTGCACCATGGATTGTCGCCGGAGCATAAGGCTCTTGCGGAAGAACTTGTTAAGACTTGTTATCAAACGTACGCGATCCAGCCAACGTTCCTCGCACCTGAAATTACTTATTTTAATATACAAGTAAGTTCGAAAAATTAATCTCGACTCGGATGAAAGGTAGACACGAAAAGTCGATTCTATCATCTGCAGTAATAGCGTTTAGAGAAAAAAAATTGTTAACTATCCTCTTGTAATTCTGTAGAAAATGGAGGGTGAAAATCAAATGGATATGTATGTAAAAACGAATGACGCTCATAATTTACTGAGGCCCGAGTTGATCGAGAGTCTATTTTACATGTGGTATTTTACGGGGAATAAAACTTATCAGGATTGGGGTTGGCAGATATTTCAGGTGAGTGTGTGTTATCCTTCTTTCGGAATTTCACACATTATACATACATATTTAACGTCTCGGCAGGCTTTCGAGAATTATACCAAAATCGAAGGCGGCTACACGAGTATCGGTAACGTCCGGAATATTCAGCACACTCGCCAGCAAGATATGACGGAAAGTTTTTGGTTCGCAGAAACTTTGAAATATTTGTACTTGTTATTTGATGACACTAGGCAATTGATAGATTTGGATAGATGGGTATTCAACTCGGAGGGCCATCCATTACCCATATACGAATCGTAATGCAGTAGAAGTGCAACCAGCGAGAGTACACAATTTTTTCGCACACTTATAAAATTATTTTTTAAATGCCCAATTATCTATCTTAATGTTTTTTTAATGAAACTTCCCGAACACTCGCATTTCCTCCGTTAATTGTGGGAATCTTCTAAAAAGGCGTCATTAATTTTGTGGAATGAAACAATACAGTCAATTTCTGCTGTTCTAAGATTATCGAGACCGAGTTCTCTCTCTATTTTAAAATTTCTCCTTAGTTTTTATTAGGCCCGGTTCCACAAATGTAAGATTATCTTTAATTTCGGTTTATCTTACTGTTTATCTCTTTCTAATTCGTAAATTAGAAAAAGATAAAGCAGGTTGAATTTCGATTAAATCGAGTTAAACCGAGAATTGTGAAACCGGGCCTTAGTGATGTATGCGCAAAATGAACATTTTTTTATTCAATTTTTCACTTCATAAATTGCTACGTAATCATGTAATCACGTGACAATTTATAACTGTGAATAGTAAAACTAGAACGGAAGAAATTAGTTTAGAAGAGAAAAAATAAATTTGTAGAAATTGATTCTTAAAATCATAAATAATTGCAGATTAACTTGCTTTATCAAAATAGGATTTCAAATTATAAAACAAGTATGCAACATTAGCTGCGCCTACCAAAGTATCCTGCCTACAATGTCGAATTGATAATAGATGCTATTAGTATTTTAGATTTTCAATTACACTGCATATTTGAGAACATGTAACTTGATTTTTTTTTTTAATAATAAGATTCCTAGCACCTATTATTGTACTTACTGTTTTTCGAAATTTTACTTTTGAAATTTTATCTGTAACATCATTTTTTAGGAGATACGTATCCACAATATATTTAAAAAATGAATGTTATTATTTAGTATTACCTTCACATTAAATTCGTACGTTGTAATATTACAAAACTAATCTAGTCCTCATCTATTATGAATAAATTTGAATAAATTACGCATTATACTTGCAGTCTCCGATTATTATCAAAATATAAATACTTATATAATAATTATATGAAATATATTTGGAAATGTCTTTAAGATTTCTATGTCATTGGAATGGCGTGGTAATGATTAAATCGTAATTTTTATAGAATTATGATAGAGCATAAAAACGCTGATCAAAAAATATTTCATCACCTACAAGCTGTGTTTTTGATAATTTTATCCACGTGTAGTAATACTTTGAGAAATCGTAACATACTGTTATTTTATACATTATCGGGTAATAGAAATACATTAAATAAATACGAAGAGATTGTAAAATTCGATTTAATCATTAGCTGCGTTATAGAAATTACTCAAACCATTAAAGAAACAAAAACTTCTCAAGTTATTCTTCACATGTAATAAACGCATTCTGATATCGATGTCAGAAATATGACGTTATTTGATTTCGTTATCAAGTAGAGACACGATCTAAGTTTTCTACATAGGTCCTTATGACTACAGGTCCGTTTTCTTAGCTCGTAAATTACAAACAGATATGTAAACGTCTAAACGATTGTCGCGATTAATACTGTCAAGTGCGCATCATTGACATTAACGTTAATGTCAGAGTGTTAGGAAGACATATGATAATGGTGTAGCAAATATAACTTGCTCTATATAACATATTGCGAGGAAATGTTTATGGACTAATAATTGACTTTTGCGATCTCTCGACGCGATTTTTATCACGTAAATGGCAGTGGACATTTGCATAAATTGCAAGTACAACTTTCTCCGCAGAGAAGTACATTCTAAAAAAATATATAAATTAATTAGCTGCCCATGTGCTTCATCATCAATCGCCTTTAATCGCATTTAATCGTACGGTCGCTGCTCGATTAAAATATTGCGACAGAGTATCAAAAATTATGTATATATAATTACGGGCCGTCACACATTCATTCGTACACATTTACAAAATTTTCTACATATCGCGCCATAGAATTTTTTTTTCTATTATATACTTTTCGTGTATCACAAAGTATCCTAGTGCTGAACTTGTTACGATGTCAGATCCTAAATTTTGCGTCGAAGAGACGGCGACTCTCGAAACTCTCGAAAAAATTGATTGGGGAGAGTAGTCGCGAAAGGCGGCGTTTCTTCGACATTGTATCTAGCTACAGATGTTGAACGGTCTCAAACTATCGTGCACTCACAACACTGTTGTGCAAAGTAAATGCAATTGATCAGACATTCGTCGTTCGGCTCGTCGGGCGATTTCTTCCTCGTCTTCATCTCGATGCCGTTCTTCTCGACTCTCGGTTCCACTTCCGGCACGGGTAGTATCTTCTGCACGATCGGCACCGCTTCTTCTATCACGTCAGCGTCGGTGTTCACGGTCGGCGAGACCACGGCTTTCGTCGGCTCTGCCATTACGGGAGTCATGTTGATCTTCTCCAACCTCGCGTCGTCCAGCACGTCGAAACTCGTTGCGGATATCGATGCCTGCGCCGGAGTTGACGGGTCGTTAGACATTATCACGCTGAAACAAAACGGGATTCGTTTTCAATATGATCTAATCCATTGTGCTAAGGCTGGGAAGAAGTATTCTTAAAGTTGAGAAAATTATCTCTCAAGATTAATTAATTTTCTGAAGTTGTGGAAAAGCGAGTTAGACCATTATTTGGTTGATATTACATTTGTCGTACGACCTTTTCAAATGTATTAATTGGCTGCAGGATAGAGTTTTCCGAATATCCAGAACTTCTCCAGCTTTCTACAGCCAATCAACGAACTTGAAAAATTTGTCATATGACAAACATTTCAGTCATTGTACTGAACAGTTCAATATTCGATTATCAAGAAAATTATCAAGAATTTATGCACACAATAGGTTTTTAGAAAACATATTTTGTTCAAATAGGCCTGTATAGATTTGTTGAACTTATTTATAGACGACGGATAAAAAACGGTAGCTCAAAAATTTATGTACACTGTTGGTTTTTTCGAAAACTCATTTTGTTCGAATAATGTTATAGTATAGATTCCCTGAGCTTTAAGACGATATATAAAAAACGAATGCCTGCGGGAGATAATACGGAATTCGGGTGAAGAGTTTACAACTTTTCCGGGATCCTCGGGAAGAGAGAACCTACCACCTGGTCTTCTTGCAAGGATGCGCTCGAGTCCTTTCCTCCGCGGTCAGGGTGGTAAAAAATGACACTTGCTTCATATTTCTTAAGTCCCGACTTTTCGTCGACGTGAAAAATGTCTGTAACTTTACCCCCCAGCAGCACTTTGTATTTGAAACACTATACCTCCTGTCGCCCTCCTTACGCAGCCGCAGCCGGCGTGATGCAACTTTTATCTCAGTTCGTCTAATCTAATCACCTTTCGCATTCTCACTGGTTTTCTTAATGTACAAAAGAAACTGCAGGAGGAATCGGCTTCTACCTGTAGAACATTCCCGAGGCTGTCAAATGTATGCACACGACTCCACGTCTAAATATACGCCCGTTGATATGCGCGTTTTTGTGTAAACATCGCAAAAATCTTCCGTCATAAAAGACTTACTTTACGATTACGTGTAGAATCTGTGTCGCATCTGGTACATCGCTCGCGCACGATTACGTCCCAATTGATCGAGTCCCGAGCACGTGGAGCGCATTAGCGGACTGAATACCGTCGACATGCTGTCAGTTAATAAAAGCTAATGAACGTCAACTAGATCTACGTTGCGTATTGTATTGATCAAAATTTCATTAGTAACTGAACGTAATTAATTACTCTCGAAACTCTCTCTTTTCTCTTGTTTTCTAGAAAATAAAAGCCTAAAGTCACTTTAAAAATATTATTTTCCTCTTTGTGAAATAAATATTAAAGATTTCGTTTAAGAACATTATATGTATGCGGATTTTCTCTTTTATCGTTAATTTCATGTAAAAGATATGAAATATTATATGTCGAAAGCTTAGGAATCGTTCGACTTTCTACAAAAATACAATTTTTAGCTATTTGTTTAAATTAATTACTAGAAAATTTACGTATAAATTGCCAGAAAATTCATGATTTCCTTTATAACGTAATTATAAAGGTAGTGCACACGTGATTGGATAGAAAATCGTTTCAGGAAAGGACGAGAAAATTCCATGTGACGTCGTGAAACGATAAGCCTTAGGTAGACATTATTAGGGGGGGTTACCTTGGGCCTGTACCCTCCCGGTCAATTGTATTCGTTAGGTCAAATCTTAGAGAGAAAACTGCAGCTGTGCTACGGGGCAGCTGAAATATTTCGTGTCAATACACGAGCTATTTCGTAAAGTCGTAATGCGTAACCTTCGTTTCATCATGCGCAGATGACAATGGAATTATGATCGCGCCGAGTTTTTTCTACGTTATGATTGATGAAGCATATGTAAGAACGCGATGTTTTCGTATAAAATTTTTTTGAATTACGATTATATTCATGAAATAATTAAACAATGTTGCATACACAAAATGCACAAAAATAACGTTAAGAAAATTACGTGACGATAATTCATAATATTACTTAGCGTTTTTTTAATGCTCAAATAAATATGGCGTGATTATTTTAATGTCTCGATATTAAGATATATTAAAGTCACTGATAAAATGTGTTTACTCTGCAGAATTCTCTATTATCTATTTTTAATCATTTGAGGAATCAAAGACCCGTATTGAGCAACGATAATATAATCAACTGCAAACAACGATAATATAAGTTCACAAAAATTTTTGATACGGTCTTTCGTTCTTTTATTACCGCGTGCGTTCCTTGTTTTATTAATAATACGATATAACTCTTGGAAAAATCTGCCAGCACAAAGTCAAGGTGAGAATCAGTAGCGTGTGACGCGCATACAATTACAGCTCCGCTGACAAAAATCGCGTGAATTAAATTAAGAAACTGATAATTAAGTTTCGACGTAGAATGGAATTTTCGATGATTGAAATGCGAATGTAACTAGGATATTTTTGGAATACTTTTGGATTACAGTATCGTGTATATCGATACATGATACCATGCGTGCAGCACATTTCGTGACAAAATGCAAACAGTTCTATGACGGTAATCAATTCCGCAACACAATATTACACAAGCGCAATTTTCTATTATTTTTAACAATGGGCTCCAAGTTTGTCAAGCTAACTTTGATCTTGCCTACAAATTTATTCTTTTTTGTATCATTTTTTTTTCTACTTTGCAATACATTTTATAGTAATTAAAATATCAATGATAAAAATTAGTCGACTTGCAAGATAATTGATTAAATTAATAAGAAACTAATAATAATTAATGGCGGTAAATGACTCCATACCATGTACCAAACATGCCACAGATTACTATTTTTCCGTTTAGTATATTTCTAATGATTGTTATATCACTTGTCCACGTCGAAAATGACCGAGACTGAAAGTTCGAATCAAAACGCTGACTGTGCGAAACGCATACCGGTACTGCAAAACCAGTGCCGCAACCGTGCACCGTCAACGGCCGTCGTGAAACTGTCCGACCTGAACCCTGAGAACGTTATCCCACCCTTGGGTGAGCTTTACACGTGTTACACGGCAGTGCCGTACTGGGCATACGTGGGTTCCACACGATAAGATTACCAGAGACGATCGAATTTCACAACCAGAAAAAAAATTAACGAAAACTCGTTCTAATGAAATTTAGTTGCTAACTAAAATTAAAAATCAATTTAAAAATATTTTTTATTATTTTGCATCTGGCATCAATTAAAAAAGTAACGCATCACTTTGCATTTGTTTAGAAGCAATATTCGAGCAGCAATTTTTTTGTATATTTTATGTCTATTTCAATCCTGTAAGAGGATTTTCAACTCCGTTCTGTTATTTCGGAGAAATCTTTACGACTGTAATGTGTCGGTAATTCCGACCTTCCAGCATCGCCTTAAGTGCTGGATGCAAGAAAAGTTAAAATTATTAGAGAAGAAGAAATAGCATAAAATATAAAAAAATTGGAATCGCTATATATTTCAAGATTATAAATTCTATTTTAATTAAAAGTAGGCTTATATAAAAAACTGCCGTAATTAAAAAGGTGACGTAGAACTCTGGTAAACTCTTGTAAACTTAAAAAAAGAGACTTTTATCAATTTATTTCTATATTTGTTCGTTGTAATTATTACATTATATTTTGTGAAATTATATTCCGGTGAATGGACGAAAAAATGGTCATTGGAGAGAAAGTGGACGACCCCGAAGTAGGTTCCTTCTAACCGAGTTTTGAAATCACTGAATCCGATCCCTAGATCACATTTACGATTCCTCTCATGGAGTATTTACAAATACCAACCTTTGTACAGTATTGATCGTAGCACAGAATTCAAAGAAAATTGTCACAGTATTCTGACGTTCTAATTGATCCTTGTTCAAAGCCATTTTTCTTATCGTCTATTCACTCGCTAAGTTTTATTTTAATACTTCATGTGTAATAAAAATAACATTTTTAATATTTACTTTTGACAATAATTTATTTAATATACGCAATCGTAATGTAAATAATGAGACATCTAAATTTTTAATTTACTGCAAATAGATTAGCATAAATGTAAAAAGACTGCGCGAGAGCCAAACATTTTTACTTAATTAGTTTATTTAAAGACATTTAATTTAATTAGCCAAAAATCAAAATTTCGTGATTGTAAAAATAAAAAGTAAAATAATCTTATAAACCACCAATAAAATAAATTGAATAAGCGATATAACGAGCGGTAGATTTTGTAAATTGTATCGGGTTTTCACTCGCCGGCGCCGCGCCGGTGCGAGCCGGTCGCGTTCCTGCGGAGCTACCGAAAGAATTCACCATGTTCAGCCGGGCGAACACGTGATAGGATTACAGGATGAGAGAAGGGCAACCTTAACCTACAACCCATTTACACCGGAATTCTTTTCCCTCACGACTTACTCGTAGCTTCCATGCTGCCACAGATATTTCAAGCGCATCGTTGGCCGCCGACGCACCGTTGGCGCGGTAACGCGAGTATTTGCTGCCGGGCTTCACTGTTGCCGTTGGTACGGTCGCGATCGACGCGATCGATGAAGGATACGATCGAAACTGCACTGAGTGCACACAGCCGCAAAGCAAAAGCATCTTGAACGATTTCACCGTCGCGCTCGCGCAGACGACACGCGCACACACGCACGCACGTGCGCACGCACGCACGCATGCCACACGCAGGTGACGCAGGACAAGGGACTCGAGGAGCTGCCGCGTGAATTGAAATTCATCGAAACGTCGGTGTGTAGCGTTACTGAGAAATGTGGACGAAAACGCGGCTCTCTCGCGTCGATTCGCGTGACAATGGAAACGCGACTGGTTGACGTTAGGTAAATTCTGGCCTTGATTTTCCACATCGTGGAAATTATTGATCATCGACATAATACGAAATAATTAATAAAGATCCGTTTTCCGGAGCTCGATGAAAGAACTCCGGATTGCGGTAAACGATCGCTGTATAACAAATGGAGGCAATGGAGTTGAATAAAAAATTGGACTTACGCGAAGAGGTTAGCCTCGTTCTTTTTCTTTTTCTTGGAGTGCATCCAGTTGCGAATGTGATGTTTCTTGGTGTTAGTCTCTTTTTTATGTTTGCCATGTCCGCGCGATTTACCGTGACCGAACATGTTTCGCTTAGAAGCTAAGGCTAAGGTTAAGGCACACAACCAAAAATCACCGCCGCACCGCAATCGTAATCGCACACTACGCGTCTAACAAACATTCGTCTCTTTAACTTCACGCCTTGTTAACGCACGTCGCGTATTCAGCCCCGTCATCGCGCGACGGTGCATAAATCTTCCGCGATCTCGCTCTCGAGATTGAAAAATCACGTGAAAACCGTGTACGGAAAATGCGCGCGATATCGATAAAAAGCAGCGCCGCGACCGCCGACTTTAAACGGAGGTAAGATTCAGCTTTGTGTGTCACGATCCGAGTAACCGTACAGGCACGCGATGCCTGTAAGTATGTGAACGTGCGTATAGCGTAATGCCGCATGACGTGGACGGTGAAGGATACGGGAGAGGATTGAGCGATGATGTTTGCGTGGGTTTAACGCGTCGGATATACGGGATATACCATTTGTGTGTTAATTAACTACGCGAAAGCCTCAACGAGAGATCGCATGTTAACGTTACAGTAAATAAATTAAGCCATTTTCGAAGAAATGTATCACGGGCGTTTTTAATTGGCTTTTTTTTATTGACGATGCGTATACAGATCAAAGAAAATACAATTGTATTGTTTACACACAGCCATTACACTGTATCTCTTGGCATCTCTATACCGATAGCATTCAAACCGTTAATGACGAGTAGTGTACATCTAATTGCTCGTGTTTGCACTACCATTTGAGTGATATCCTTGATCTCGATTTCTTGCGTAACGAGCGAAGATTCAATCAACTTTTTACATTTCGCTCCGAAAATGGTTCTTTAGGAGTTATTTTAGTTTTATTAATGATAAACATGAGCAGCGTTTGTATATTTTATATCGATGAGACAGTGAGTCGTGAAAAATATTCGATTTCTGTTCAAAATGTCTCATCGATATAAAATATACAAACACTGCTCACGTTTATCATTAATAAAACTAAAATAACTCCTAAAGAACCATTTTTCGGAGCGAAATGTAAAAAGTTGATTGAATCTTCGCTCGTATACGTGTAGATTATCGGTTTCGACACAGAGCATATTTTAACATATAAATTGGGCAAAAAGGACACTTTCGTCATTCAGCGAGTATTTCTTTCTTCGGATAATACGAATACTTGGGAATAAAACCTCGCGACAGCGATAAACTTTGTTCAACTTTGTCTGGAGGAAAACAGCGTTTTCAAACGAGTATTATATTTGTAAAAAATGTACAACTTTCTGATTAGACTCTCGTGCCTTTGGCAAAAAGATAACACGTATAATTATAGTCATGATCAAGGTCGCTGGTCGCTTTAGATAGAAACGTTGGATAAAATCTGTTTTGCATCAGTTTGTCCCCGCTAAAATTGAATCGTTTTACGTAAACATCTCTCTCGATGCGCACGGCGAATATTCGGCACCGATTGCGATAAACTACAATTTACGAGTGTCACGATTAAATGCACGCGATTAGAAGCGGATTCAAGCGGGCCAAATAAAATTTGCATGCTTAAAAGCAAACTCACTCAAAGACGCTTTTTTTCGGCGCTTTCCAAGGGTCAGCTTTCCTTTTGATCTTTTTCTGCGAGATTTTACGATAATCGTTCGACCTTCCATATTTATCCGAAAACATGCGTATTTTTTGGTATTTTTTTTTTATGGCTAAGGCAACCAAATCGCACAATCAAAACGCACTGCTGTTTCGTTTGCAACTATGTTTGCAACGGACAATTGTCTTTTTAAATACAGGCTTTAATTAGCGCATAACAAGTATTTAACCCCGCCATGACGTAAAACTCTGACGTTTTTTTTAATTTAATTGCATGAATTTACGGAAATTGCGTGGGAATTTTGTGTACAAACAATATCAGGCATGTAATGAGAATGAATTGCGAAGAGATTCACGTATACCGTAACATATCAAATACACTACAATATATCGTTTGCAAACCGTTGCAATTTTATTTGCCAGGTATTCGATTGTCCGTCCCGTTCTGGCCGGGATTCCGTTTCGCGCGATCGGGATTTCTCCGTTTCCTCTCGTCTCTCGCTGCCGAATATCAAATAAAGTGTTTGCGCTTCGTCGAAAGGTACCTCACGCTCCTTTCTCGGCTCACGTCGCGCCTCCTTTTTGAGACGCGCATGTAAACGTGGTCGATATGAAACCGGTTCTCTCAAGCAAGCGAGAGAAGCGTGCGAGGATAAAAAAATTGGGACTCCTGTGCCAACGTCGCGTCCAAAGAATATATTCCGTACAAATTATAATAGCCGACTATTTGTTAGCGCTCACGTTTCGCGTGCAGAAATTCTCGGCTTTCAGAGCGTGGCGAATCACCGTCGCCGTTTCAGATACGCGATTCTGACAACTGCATTCGTTAGTCTGCAATTTAACCGTGCCGCTAAACTAATTCCTTGGCATCACTTTGGCACGTGCGACTGGCCGTTCATTTGCGCTGTCCAAGCATTAGTTTCTCGGAAAATTCGCGCATTCGGCCGCCGAGTTAGCACGTGTCGAGTTACGCAAAGTGCCCGAAGAGACACACAACGCTACCACCCGGTACTTGAGGCTGCCCACCGAGGACGAGATATCGCGTACAAAAGGAGGGACGGGATATTTAATGTTTAAAGGTGTGTACCCGCGGTGTTGCACACCCGGCGTTGCACGGCGCTACACACCGGCCCTAAGTATGTGCGAATCGTATACCGCGAATGTCAAACAGACCGTGACAGAAAACTTTTGTATGTGCATTGTGCCCGTTAGACCTTTGGAACCGAGGTGAAGTTTCGCAGACGCTCGCTAAAAAATTATATATTCTTTTCCGCTCGTACTTGTAAGAGGAACAACTTGGCCAATGATAAACGAATGAATAATCACAGTTCTATCGAATTTTTATTCAAATCCTCGTTTCGATCACTTCAACGCAGTTCTCAAATTTCCTTTTCAATATTATTATTATTTTAATCAGCGTTTTGTTTTTATTACTTTGATTATTTAAGAAAAAACGCGAAAAGAACAAGATTTAATCTGCAGTAATACATTTCAAACCGTCTATACGCTGTGCCATGCTGACACTTTTAATGAGACACGCGAAATAAAAGAAGGAACGTTAAACAGTTGTACTTTTCTTGGTGCATCTTGGTTAATTCATGATGATTCGTTCTTGTCGATATACTCGTGAGTCCGTGACACTCATGTCTCTTTCGCCGGTCGGGTCATTTACCGCTTTTTCTTGGCAAATGGCATAGGCTAATGACGACCAATATAGTATACTCGGGAAGCTCGACGTAACCTCGACGTAACGAACACGTAACATCACGCACGTCTGTCGCATATACACACGCATCCGTCCGTCATACCGCGGATGCACGCACGCACGCACACACGTCGCACTCACTCACCTGAGCTCATGCTCGGACGTGCTCGGGGTTTCCTGCGTGTAAACATCCGCGTAGACGATTATTGTCGTCGGGTCTCTTTCTGCTCCCATCCTCCCGCCTGTCATATCGCCGGAACGAAATGATTATACCGCGCCGGCGTCTTGCACTTTGTGCCGTCACGTGGTCGACGCGGTTCCCTCTTGTTTCAAGCCCGATCGTCCCACGCTGCGTCGGCTGGAATTTGTCGCCACTCGCCGTACGGCCCACACGCGGTAAGCCCGATGCTCCCCTCGCTGACAAAGAAAGAAATCACGTGAAACCGCACGGACGACACACTTCGTAAACGTTAACTTCGTTAATACTGCGCGAACGATTTCGATCCGGAAGAAATGGAATCGTCGTCCGCGCGGACACTGGCGATATCGGCGCTTTTACGCACTGCAATTTACAATTATGTAATAATATTGACCGACGACAAATTGCTGCTGGCTGAGCAGAGAAACAAGCTTATAACGAGCGCGTTTTATCTGCAGTTCACGTATCGACAATCTGCGAACAACTGACGATTTTCGTCTACGGTTTGCGCTTTGTGCCTGACCATCCACTCATCCAGGGACCCTTCTATCTACAAATACTTACAAATGACACCCTCTCCTTCTGACCGCTCCCTTCGTTCTATGGATTTGCTATTCTTTTACCGACTGACTGACAGATTTTCCTCAGATCATTAGTGACACATGTCTCAACTATTCCAACAGGCACATTTTTTCGAATGTAACCGTTCAGTACATTCATTTTTTCACATCGAAGGATTTCCATTAACCCTAGATATACACACTGAAACCCCAATAAAATTTTGGCATTTCTGAAATTGGAAGGGAAGGGATTTGGAATATTGACGTAAAAAAAGTTTGGGATCTCGTCAGTAGGAAGACGTGTTGACGCACGGCAATTGTCGCTCAACAAGCAGTGAACAGTGAAGTGAGCATGGGGTCCCCGGGATTGCTTGTAGTTTTGTTAAAAAATTAAAATATCGAGTCGCCAAATGTTTTTTGTTACTATTTCAAGTATATCTTTTTAAAATTTTCAAGGATTTTCCAAATCAGTCTATAAACAAAAGAGATATGATTTTTTGAAAAAAGATGCTAAATCGAGATTTTTTCGCGTTTTTGAACTTTCCTTTTTCTGTGAACCTGTATATCTTGGAGCTCCTTAATTCTATCGACTTTTAAACATTATGAGCTTATTTCTTGGTCGATTTTCTATCGATTGAAAAAAACAATTAATTGTCCATTTTTACTAGAGTTATAAATACTACAGTAATAAATATGGATGGGACCCCAGTGTGTATACGACGTCGTCAAAAAAACTGTGTATACCTAGGGTTAATCGTCAATTGTTTGCTTTTTTGTATTCTGTAGATGTACAATGCAGGAAAGAGAATTAATCGAGAATTAATTTAACGAAAATATTTTTTATATTTATTTGCTTGGCAACACACGAGATAACTTTTTCAATGTGCAATTTCAACATAAATTTGATATCACTGAAATAATTTTTAATCAACGCAAGCCATATTCATCACTATATCTGCAGCACCGAGAAGTAAATCGACCGATTAAAGTTCCAGAATGACACACAGCTATCTAACACAAACAATTCGTTTTCGTCGCACTTGCACGCATCATGCGTCACGTTTGGGGCTCGGAGAGGGTCTGTCGCTGCCCCTTCTACGGAGTTCTTATGGGGTCCTTTGTTGCTCGCCGCCTGCCGAGAGCCGTCCGGTCGTCTGTGAATGGATTGGAAAGCCTCAATTTCCAAGAGTCACGATACGAAAGAACGGATATTTATAGAGGATCATATCCTTTGGCAGGATCTCTGGGAAAATGTTAAATATTTTCTACAATTTCTATGAGATTATGTTCAGGCCGTACGATTATACGATAGATAAAATTATAAGATTAAATAAAAAACAAGTTTCCGTTATATATTATATGTAGCCTTAATTATAAATATAAAGCATTTTCAATTTATTGCATTCTTTTAAAAGAAGCGGTAATAAAAACCAAAGAAGAATTAACAAAATATTAAAATTATTATAAAAATAAATATTATATGATAAAATTTTTTTAATTAATTTATATTTAATCTATTTCGATTTATTTTGTTAAATAAAAAACATTGACGTTATGTACTTATGATCGAGGCTGTATATCTATTCGTTATTTGCAACACATATGTAGAAACACTAGAAAACGGATATTGCGCTAATAATAAGACGGTTGAAACGCTTAATCATATATGTATTCGGATCGTCATTAAGATCAGTACAGTACTCATACTGAGCTCGTTAACATAACTGTTTATCATCATCAAGCGAAAAAAACACGGCGATAAAACGTGATATGCGCACGCAATGTGAATTGAATACATCGAGATAAAAGTTTTACTTAATTAAACGCGCCTCAATTTTGAAATAAAAATAAAATTATTGTGGATATAATATAACAACAAAAAGAAGTTTTATACATTAGGAAATGTTTTTTTGAACGATCGATAAATCCTGAAAATAAAAATTTTCAGAACACATAATCGTACTTAGGGAAAATAGCATCGAATAAAGAATAAAGTATTAGAAAAATAGGCGTTTTATTCAAAGAACTTTCATATTATACAAAACTGGAAAAAATGTAGCAACATCGTTTTTACAAACGATCAGGCCCCCAGAGTCTGTTGCTTCGCATCTTATTGTTGTTTTGGTTAAAAAAAATAGAGCGCAACTAAATATTCTTTCAAATTTTCGTAGGCTCCTTTATTTTCTTCTCTGCGTTTGATTTATTTTTGGCGTTATTTTTCTTCTTGATATCTTCAACCATGGACACAAACTTGAAGATATCATCTGTTAAAAGAGCTGGTTCTTCAAATGCAGCGAAATGACCTCCGCGCGGTAAATGATTAAAATGTATCAGATTAGTAAATTTTTCACGAATGAGGCTTTCCGGTTGATACGTTAGTTCGTGAGGAAATACCGCACACCCTGCTGGCACATTAACAGGCAATCTAAAAATAGGATAAACGTTAATGAAAATAAAGCAAAGAAAAACTATTTTTCTTTTAATATATCGAAAGTTCTTATAAAAATAATATTACATTAAAAGAGATACATACTCGTCGATCCTGCTCGCCATATGTTCCTTCTTAAATTGCTCGGAATAAAGTCGTACACTTGTAGTCACAGAGTTGGTAACCCAGTAAAGCATGAGGTTATCTAAAAGCTCATCTAAAGTGAATTTTTCGAGGAGACCGCCATCGGCACGAAATCTGTACTCTGGATTCGTCCATGTACTAAACTTTTCCAAGATATATGTTGCTAATGCGACTGGCGAGGCTCCCACGGTAGTACCTTTGGAAATATTTTCTAATTAACTCTTTCACTCTTTAATAGATAAGCTCGTATATTACTTTAATATTTTAAATACATATTTATATCTACACATCTATATATTTTAAATATAAAATATATATGTAAGTAATAATTCACTATCTGCGATTTTATTTTAAATTTAATTTATAATAACTCAACTAAGTCTAATACTTAAAGAAATTAATAACACATTAAGAGATTTCTATTAAAAGTTTCTCCTATTAAAAAACTGTTCTACATAGCTAAGTTCTACATAGCTACCTATGGTGTCTGGTTTACTAGCTTGTATATGCATGTATCCAGTTTCCTCAAGCAGTCGACTCGTGTGATGTCCCAAAGGATACATTTTACCGGCATGCTCGCTCTCGACAACGAGCGATGGGACAAGCGCACCGATAATGGTCCACAGCGTACTGGACGTGCTCATAACCAAACAAAAGTTCGAATGGGTGCCAAGAGTGCTGAAAAAAAAAACAATTGTTTTTGTACTTTGTTACTCTTATGTACATTAAGTCTCGTTGAATTGAGCAAGTCATGATTAATAATACGTACTTCTCCGGGAAGAGACTAGATAAATGCGCGACAATAGCGGCACCCCAGTCTCCGCCCTGCGTGTAAAATTTGTTAAAACCGAGCCGCAACATAAGGTTTTTGAATATAACAGCGATCTGAAAGTAACAAACAATTAACAATGTTTACACGTCGCAAGGATAAAGATTTGTTGCATTAGCCTATTCTTGATATCTCTTTGCTCTTACATTCTATAGGCTATACATTTAGAAAGCGCGCTATCAGCTGTTACATAATTTTGTCCTTGTTAACGATAAAGAGTGCGAAAATAACTTATAACACAATAGCTTTGATAGCACGCTGCCTGAACAGCAGCCTTTGTTGTCTCGAGTGTGCGAATATTACACCGTTCAAGAAAAATATTAGGCGTTTTTCTTCGTAAGCTTTACCTGCGGCGTGCACAATCCTTGTCGTACGGCCGCTTGTGAGAATCCATATCCCGGAATCGAAGGTGCGATCACCTCAAACACGAAGTCTTTGTCGGGCCGCGGTGTCGTTAACATGGGAATAATTTTCTGGAATTCCACCACGGATCCTGGCCAGCCGTGTACGATCAACAATGGCAAAACCTTTAAGTTTTTACGTTCCGGTGGAATGTGAGGTTTCACGTGATAAAAATGTATGTCCAGACCTGTAGATATTAATTTCAATTTATTCAATTTAACTTTGGATTTCGAATAAAACTTTATTAATACATCTATATATTAAATATAAGTGAACGATATTTCACACGAAATCAAGGATCAACTAATATTATTAATGATGACTTGCTTAATTCAACGAGATTTAATGTATACAAAAGTGCAAAGTACAAAAATGACAATCATTTTTTATTTCAGCATTTTTGACACCCTTTCAAACATGTGTGCATATTTGCACCTTAGTATTCCGTTATAAAAATAATATTTTAATATGTTTTCTTCTTTCTCTCTGTCAAAGTATTCTTAACGCGCCCTACAAAACCGGCTTGTTGTTTCGATACTCTAACGGGGCTTTTACGGCTTGAACCGCAGTTATCTGGGCCGGCATTTATTATTTCCCGCTAATAATAGACAAAAGGGAAACAACGAATCTCTCGAGCGAAGAGAAAAATAAAAAGATATTTAACAGCGCAATACCGCCACTCGTTTCTGGGAGCAAATCTTTTAACTCTATATCGCGAAAGAATCATGAAACTTTTTCAAAAGACCACGGTCGAACGACGAAAAAATTTATTACCTTGTATATTGGTCATGTATTGAGGGTACTTATTGAGCAACGCTTCCCGATGAGTCCAATTATACTTCGTTCTCCAATATTCAAGAACATCTTTCAAGTACGTCGTGCTGACGCCGTAAGTCCACGCAGCATCTTGCAATGGTTCCACCAATTCTCTTCTGTTTTTGAGCCGTTCATTTAGGTCATCAATTACCTTACTCAAGAAATTGCATTTTAGTCGGAAATAATTTCGCAAAAGAATCGCTAATGAATCTTTCGTAGAAAAACCGAAAGGGGAACACGAAATTATTTCCGAAATTATTAAACAGTTTAAAATAAAACTATATATAATAATAAAAAACTATATATAATTTAAACGTTTTATTTTAAACTGTTTAATACACAGATAGTAAAATCTCAATATAATCTCTCTAGAAAATTTTTTATGTATTTTACAGTTTGAAATAATTTAAAGATACGAACAAAGTATTGAAATACAAATTTCTTTTTACAGTGGCTCTTGTATTTCTTTATCGTATAAGTCATCGCGTATTGAATTATGCAGCAACTATTTTTAAAAAGACGTATGACTGCGATTTATGCAAATTTGTGCAATATTTAACATTTTATTGTTAATTAAACTGATGTCTGACGTTTTACTATGTGTTTTAATTGACTGCAAACAAGTGATAAATTATGAGCTGATATTAATTCGATTATGTAATAGTAAATATATTTAGTGGTATAATTTATAGTCACTTATTTTCGTAATAAGAATTACGATTTCAGTAAGATGATATCAGTAAGATAATAATATTAACTAATACAGTGATACTGCATACAGTAATACAATAATACCGATAGTATCGTATTTCGGGATTGAGATAGCAACTGCAAAGTGCGCATCAATCGCAAATATACGCGTTACGCAACTGACTATGAAATCAATAAATTTATTAATAGATCAAGCAATTTTTTTTGCTACAATATGTATAATAATATCTTACATAACGAAAGTAGAGGTGCGGAGTGCAACCTTGATAGCGTATTATTTGCTTAATAGATAAATGGCACCTCGTCATAAATGGGTTCTCTCATCACTTACCGACTTTGGCACTTTAATAACGAAAGGTCGTACTTCCTCCGAGGCTCCTTTATTTCGTTCAGGTCCCCAGAACGTCTCGGGCAATTTTGGTACCTCTATAGGACTGGATCTGCGAATGAACGACATTAAATCGTTATGATAAATCGTTAAATTACATGAATTGTTTAAGTAAATTATTTGCAAATCCAACGCGAAAAGGAGAAAAATACAGTTTCACCAATCAGAACGTTTGTAAAGCTTCCGGCTCGATGTGAGAGATGAGTTTATGATTGGAACTCACCGGAGTAAAACAGCTATGCCAATGGCAAGAACAAAGATCACGGTCGTGGTCTTCCACATTGTGCGTCCGCCTCGTACGACGTAGAATGTACGACTAGCGATAGCGCTGTAACAGTTCAGTTTGTCGGCAGAACTGGTAGGGGAAATGGTAGTCTATCTTGTTGTGCACATGTTTTTATTCCGATCTCTTCAGGTATTTTGACATCGATAGATAAGTTGATTGTTCACAGTTTTTACATACGAATTTTTTTATAGTTCTTACAGCTCGAACGAGCTACGATGATTAAAACAAAAAATTTCAAACATTATTTTTATGTACATTATTATTTATTATTAAAATATTATGTTTAAGATACATTACGTATTAAAAATCGCGATAATGATAATAATAGAGATGCACATGATTGAATAAATACAATTCTACTTATCCTATGTACAATTTAATTTTAACTTATATGAGATATTTATTCCTCTTTTGCCTAGTTTCAAATTGTATTTAAATAAAAAAAATATTGTACTTGAAAAGGAGAAAAGGAAAGTAATATCAATATATTATGGAGAATATCTACAATACTTATAAAATATTAATAAATTCTTGTTAATAGTGATATTATAATATTACATTGATGTAAATAAATCAAATACTTGGCGTGCAATATCTATGCTAGAGACATGTTTTTTGATAATAAGATATAAACATACAATAAAAAATATATATAAAATGACATAAAATAAGATGATATGCACAACATAATATAAAAAAAATAATATTCATAATTGTAATAATAAATAAAACAGTTATATACAATATTTTTTAAATTATATAATATAATATAGAAACTTTCATATATATATCTAATTAATAATAATAACAATACATATATGTACACTCCGCGCCAAAATTAAAGGATCACATATTCTGATCGCTAAAAATAGGCAAATTCCGAAAGAGTGTAATTTTGTCAAAAATGATTGTAACAGAATGATCCAAAAAGCATTTTACAAAAATTTTTTACTAAGTTTGCTTAGTTCTATGGAGTGCAATAAAAATCGCATACAAATGTGACTTACAGCGTTCGAAAGCGTGAATCTTCACTTTTAATTTCACTTTAAATTCTCGATGAGTATTGTGCGATTTTTTTTCACCGAGTTATTCAACATTGAAGTAAAAAGGACCATTTTTGCTTTCATATTGAATAACTCGGTGAAAAAAAATCGCACAATGCTCATCGAGTACGCAAATTAAAGGTAAAGATTTACGCTTTCGAACGCTGTAAGTCACATTTATATGCAATTTTTATTGCACTCCATGGAACTTCGTGAACTTAGTAAAAAATTTTTAGATTTGATGCATCTCCATTTGCATCCGTGCAACTTTAAGTAAAGACTCAATAAGTCATTTAATGAATTATGGATTTCGAAAGTAGAGACTTCAAGCTGTAAAATGTTTTTTGGATCATTCTGTTACGATCATTTTTGACAAAGTTATACTTTTTTGAAATTTGCCTATTTTTAGCGATCAGAATAGGTGATCATTTAATTTTAACGCGGAGTGTATAATACAATAATATAATATATGCAATTATATAAAATTATGTATTGGATATATTTAATATATTATTGCATACTGACATATCATATCTACATAATAATTTGTATATTATATTTCTAATATACATTTTATTTACATTTCCTTGTCCATTTGTATTTCTTTTTTTTTTTAGTTTAAAAATATACATTTCTAAATATTAAAATATATAAATATATTTACAAAGTCATTTTTTCTCACTGTTACGCTTATTTTATTTTGTTCTTTCCAAAATCATTTTCTTGATTTTGGTCGCGATATTTTCTATGAAAAGTTTAGGTTCTTCAAATGCTAGAAAACAACCGTTTCGTTTTGCATAAATAACCTCGATGATATCCTTATGTAATTTTTTTTTTAATATTGACTTATCCGGGATTTCGTTTAAAAACAATGTTAAAATGCTCGGAACGTCTTTATTCTCTCTGTAAAAATAATGTCATGTAATATTTATACCTTATTATAAAGATAATTGATAATAACAATTTGTAATGATGATTACGTACGAATCTAAAATTTGTTGAATACGTTTATTATCCAATTCGTTTAACAGTTTTGCATGTATTTGAGTGGCTGTAATTGTGCTATTCGATGTCCAATAGATCATCAGATTATCAATCAATTCGTCGTAAGAATATTTCTTTTGAATTTCGTCATTTGTTTTTATGGAATTATATGTGTCTATCAAAAATTGTTTAATAATGTATGTCGCCAAAATAGGTGACTCATTTAAACCGACATTTGAAATATGTGACGCATTAAAAATACTAAGTTTTCAATCTTGTGCTTATATTTCTGTCCTATTTTTTGTGCAGTATATGAATATGTCGCCTACCAATTGCCTTCGACTTAGTTACTTGAGAGAATTTGCTTTTTTCGAGGTATTTATTTTATATTTGTTTAAAAATTTTTGTCAAATATGAATAGAAAGGAACTTGTCCCAACTGTATTGCATACACATTGCCATGTATTCCCAGCACACTAAAATTTTAATAATATATAGATATATATAATTTAAAAGTAGGAATCTCTCTTTCTCTCTCTAAAGTTAATACTTATAATCTTAGAAAAAGCTAACAGCTGCGAAAATAAATGTGCCATCATGCGACTGATAAAGATACTTGAATCGCTTGCTTGAACATAAAATTTATTATATCCAAATTTTAGCATAAGATTTTTTAGAACAACACTCATCTGATTATACGAGAAATGACGTGATGGTGCACTAGAGAAACCAAATCCAGATAAAGAAGGTACTATTACTTCGAATACAATATCGTATTCCGATCCCATTGCAGTTAATAACGATATAACCTTGTAATATTCATAGAGTAGGGCCATCCGTATAACATCAATAATAGCAAAATTCGTTGATTTGTTTTATGGTTTGATTTTATATGAATATAGTGAATATTTAATCCTGTATTAAACATACACAGAACACACAGTAATTTATTATAATGCTTGTAATAATCATTTCTTCGCAATTTTTTATTTTTATTTTTTTTTTACGGATATCAAATTTCTTTTGCAACGAGAAATATCACTAATGTAAAAAAAAGAATAGAATGCTATTCTTTTTTTTAGAGTAGAAAAGAAAATGAGTAGAATAGTTAGAATTTTTTTAAGTTATCAAATAAGTGCGACGCATATAAATAGAAATGATTTTAATATTAACTGAAATAGCAGATTAAAAATGACCAAGAAAAGTTCAAATACATCTGTATGTATTTTCATAAGTTAGAAATTTGATTTTATTCTTAACGTTGATTTTACAATGAGCTTTGTGAATTAAATAAATTAATGTTAAAGTTCTATCATTTAAATGCAGTACAAAATGAATTACTAATTTTCATTATCGTGGATGCTAAATTTTAAAATAATTTGTTACAAAAGGACGCACATGCACTTGATTATTATTCGCTACAATTTTCTATTAATAATTATGTTTCTTACCTTCAATAACGGTTGTATATTGATCACACGTATTTATATTTTTCGCGTTTTTGGAAATCATAAGCATTTGCCCAGTAATTTGTAATGACTTGCACGAACTTGTCAATATTATTTGTATTAGAATGTCTTCTAATAAGACTTAATTGAGTTTTTAAATCTTGTACGAGCTGAAAACAATTTATCTCTTTGATAATGAATTTGAACTTTTCGATTAAACTATCATTCAAGTTAATCTAATATCTCTTAAAACTTTATTTATTAATGAACTATCTCTGAGAAAGGGAGAAAGTGACTTTATATGAGTGGATACTGTCGTCAATCGGTTTTGCTTCTTCAAATTTTTCCAGTATCTCATATCTATTTTTCTCTTTCTTCTCCTGTATCTCCTTTTTCGAATTTTTCGGCTGGAATTTGCACTTGAAAAGCATACAGGCCGAGAGAACAAATTACCAATAGCTGATAGAATACGACTCATATTACCGGATATTTTAACGATCTAAAGTTTACTTGCGTTGCTATTATTTAAATTAAATTTTTTTATTATTATTATAAAACACTTGCTTGATTTTACATGATATATTCGTATTAAATACTTGCTTCGTACAAACTGTGCGTACAGTGTATGCTATGACTCGTCGAATCTGAGATATGTGGTTATCATATTTACAAATAGGACTAACGGATGAAGGTTCATCTAAATAATAGATCGACTGATGTTGTGTTTATTGGATATAATTTAAAAATTAATCGAGACGTTGAGAAATCCATAATAAATTAATAAATTTAATTTAACATTATTGCTTACTGATAAATAATTATCTAATCCAATTTCAATAAGGCGCAAATGTACGTGTGATAAAATGACAGTTTATTTGAATTTCAAACAGTTTTTTTTAAGCTCAGCTTACCGTAATAATCGTGAATACAATAGATTCCTCTTTTAAAAACCGGTTTCGACTAAGGGTTTCATCAGTCTATGATTAGAGTGTGAACAGTTTACTAGAGTCAAAGTTATAGAACTATAACGTATATCCGTGCTTATACTCGTACTGGTGCGTAAACTGCACTTTAAATTGCTTTACGAAAAATTTATACTACAGATTGATCGCAGAATTAATTCTCGGTATTGAGAATTGAAGCTGTCGATTTTAGAATTGATTCCGTTTTTGAGAATCTTAATGTTATGTACCTTGATTATAATTTTTTGCGCGTATTGATATAAATATTAAACTGTTAAAGCACATAAAAAAATAGTGGTATGAAAAATATTTAAATAATAAGAAAGAAGTTATTTAATTTTAACAAATCAAGAAAATGAGATTATATATATTATTTTTTAGCAGTTTACACTTTCTCGATTCGATAATTGATTTAGAATTTTTGATCATAATTAATTTCCATCGAAATAAATTCATTACAAAAATATTACTTCTATCATCTCCTGGACCATCTCTAAAATAGTGATGTATCAATATACTTTGAATCATAGACATGGCGAAAATAATCGGGAAAAAACAGCTATACATCTATTTTATCATTATATTATTTTCTTAATTCTTTTTCCTGAAATGCTATAGAAATGCTTGTTCTTCGAATTTTAAATTAATTTCGATAAATGTAGGCTGTTACAACACACACTGCGCTTTATTTTGGATTCGTTTAACATCGCTTAAGATCGTTAATAATCCCGTTCATTTAACGACGTTTCGGTGTCTTCCTTCCAGATATTATTATCTGAGACGAATACATTTAATTTTCGTTATTCCAAGCGGTACTAGTAACGTCGCGAGGTAAACGGCGAAGTAGCAGTGCATTTGTCGGAATTGTGTGTAATGAAGAACGTATAAGAAAAGAATACTCAGTGTTGTATCTCATAAAACGTTATATTTCAAAACGACGAGCTGCCCATCACGCGACTTCAGTACTTAATTATTTTTTGTAACGTACTTAGAGCGCGCGCCTACGCAAGGTCGCGCCGGTCGCGGGTCGCCGCGCTATCATTCGTGCTACGATGCTCGAACGGGCAGGCATGGGCGACACGGCACATAACGTTCCCGGCTGCCCGTCACTCGTCGCCACTGTGTTGCGTCCCAAAATGCAACAACTTCGTATAAATATTCAACGATTATTGTCTCACACTATTGATTTCTATTAACAATTAACCGTTTGCATCGCGTCTATCCATATTACGATTATCTATTTAAATAAGCAAATACGTATCGCGTGGTTTACTTATCAAAAGTAACAATAGGGGATGGAACGTATGAATAGCTGTTACGATGTTATTTTACGATGTCGGATGATAATTATTTTGTTAGTTAATTATTTATTTAATTAATGCGTGGATTCGAATATTTTTAGCGTCGCTCTTCAAAATTTTTACCTTCCGATTTAACATAATTTATCTATTATTTTCGGATTAATTACGTGGACTATAACGATCGAGTGATTAAACAAGCGGGAAGCGAAGTCGCAATATTTATTAATAATATATTTCGCAGGATTTACGCATCTATAATGTATCTCGCATGCAATATTGAATTTCGATTTTATATTTTCGGATAGTTTATTGTGGTTTTAATTGACCACTTGCTTGAGTTTATTAAATTATATCGTATCAGATAGTGTCAAAGTAAACTTCCTCTTACACGAGCGAGTTTATACACGTAAATACGGGGTTCGGCTATCTCGAGATATCCGAGTCATTCGCGTGCGATTAACATCGGAAATGCCATTCAAAGTGTCAAGTGTCGAATGCTATAATAGTAATTAGTGCGCGATTACAATTAACCGCGTTTTCACGAGTGTTGTGCAACCAAGCAGCCTAATAAAGAGTAGGAAACAGAACTTTGGCAACCATCAGGCGATGACCATGGGTGAGCGACGATAGATAATTAATCACGTATTATAAATATAATGTCTTATATCCCACTATCTTAGAACAGTCTAAATCAAATTGGCTTTAATATTTAATGTTTTTAAATATGTATATATATACATGTATATATTTTATTGTGTAATATATCTGATTTAGTCTAATCTTGGCTAGCCTATCCATCTATATTTATTAATAATTTTGTTTTATATTGTTTTAAATTAAATAAAATGACATGAGATCTAATAAATTTTTTTTTGTTGCGGAATAGAAGAATCTTTTATATTAAAATATTTGATGTTCAAATAACTCTAAACGTTTCCTACTACTAATTGTAAAAATAATACTAATAGCACACTGGCAATATAATAAAATCTTTATTTGAAAATTAAATGTATATCGAGAAAAACCTAAGTTGATATAAAAACTTATTGTACAAAAAGTTTAATTTTTATTTTGAATCTCATATCATTTCTGGCTGAACATCATTAGACGTGACATACTGCAAAACTTTGAACATCGCAAAAAGTAACTGACTGAAGTTTCTTTTTGTTTATGAGTCTGTCTGTTGATTCATAATTCAACACTTCGTAATGTTATTGTTATTATTCAGTGCATTCGTTTTGTAGGCCAAACGATGCCACATAGGATGCGTACATTGGCTATAAATAAAATACTTTTGTAACATAAAATATACAAACAATTTATACAATATTTAATAAATTATACCGAATTTTTTAAATATAGGGAAAATTCCTCTAACAACGGACGGCACCTAATACCGGACATTAGCTATATCTGTAATAGTTGAATCGCTACTGAACCGTTTTTCCGAGGGGAATCCCCTCTACGGTTTACGCGGAAAAATGGCTCAGTAGCGATTCAACTATTACAGATATAGCTAATGTCCAGTATTAGGTGCCGTCCGTCGTTAGGAGAACTCCCCTACATGTCTACATAAATATCTCTCAATTAATTATATTATCAAGTATGATTAATATTTAAACATCTAATGTTTAAGATTTAATATTCTTAAAGACAATTTTGTATTAACATTGTGTTGGTATACAAATATTTAAAAAACGATGATTATATTATATAATTCAAATGAAGCAATAGGTATGGCAAAAATAATCGATTATTAAACGAAATTCATACATAAATATAATTTATAGAATAAATTACAAAAGTAACTTTTGTAAATTATAATATTTACAAAGATTATATTTAATGTGCTTTAATAAATTCGGAATTCTTGAATCTAATAAATAAGTAAAATCAATAAACATAAAGTAAGAGCTAATATATAAGAGTATATATGTACAATTCTTAATTATAGTATATAGATATATTCAAGAAAAGTGGGAGATGTGCGTGGAAAAAAATAGGGTATGGTACAACCGTAGGATTCAATTAAAACAATAACAAATACATATATTTCTCGAAATGTGATACAATAGAGGTTTTCTCGTGTTGGTGGTCATATCTAATTTTTCTCATGTTTCTCATGTTTTATTTAAGTGGATCGGACGATTATTTAACGAAGACGCGGCGGTGTCCTCTATCTCATTTTCTTACCGTTCTATTTGGAGCAAAGCCGGCGGCCGCGTCTGTCTCTCGCGCTGCTATATAACTCTCTACTATTTTATTTATTACTATTTTTATTTTATCGAATTGCGATGTGTGTGTCAATCATGCTAACGCGCTTCTTATAGGCCAATAACTTGTGCCGAGATCCACGTCATACCGCACACTCAACATCATTAACAACGTTGAAAAAAAAAAAATCGAGAAAGAGATCAATTCAAGTATTTCTATCGCTAATACGAGCGATGGAAATTTTGGCAAAAACATTCTCTATGATTCGAAGTCATTTTTGGTATTTAGAATTCGTGTCAAATTCACGAATAAATTGTAAAAATTAAAAAAAAAAATCATTTTCCTTATCTAAAATCTATAAAATTTTGCGTTGCCTTTAATGACGGCGAGTGTGCGTGACAAGCAACACGCATACGCGAGCTGGCTATTGGCTCGTGTTAAAACTTCAAATAGATATTTGCAGATAAACTGAAAAACTTCCTTGCAGTCTACATTATACTCTTAAAAAACATGACGTGAGAAACTTCGTATACAATCAAACGCGAAATTCTGTTTTTCCCGCTATTACGCTTTTTTCGCAGTACCACGCTACCTTTTTCCGTTCAATTCAGTTGCGTCGAGATAACAAGCCATGCAGTAGCTGTTTTCAGATAACATACGATATGATTTATTTTCGAAAAATAAAATTTTGTGCCGCTACTAAAATTACAACAGTCTTGATCATAAGTATCCCCAATTTGTCGCATTTTTTTCTTTTTAAAAGCTAAAGTAAGAAAAGCCAAAGGATGACTAACGAAATATTAACATTGTTATAAAAATAAATATTATTTGTCAATAAAACTATTTTGTAATTTATTTTTTTCTTGGATATAGAACGTTTACGTCAATTTGTGCTTCATACTTATGGCCAAGGTTGCATATTGGGCGATACAATTGGGCGAAGACGTTCGCTAAATCTGCCGACGCAAGAAATCGATTTAATAATTCATCACGCGGAATTCTCCGTTGTTATAACGCAGTATTTTTCCGTTAGAATGTGCAAGGCAATCGTGAAGGACTGTAATCGGACGATTTCGTGCGCGACTTTCGGCAAATCACTTAAACAAGTATGAGACACCGCGAACATTCGGATCATTGTACTCGCGCATCAACATACAGTGGCCTGTGTTCGCAAAAAAAAAAAAAGGTTCTACGAATTCGACGAAATTATAATTACGTATTCAATTTTATTCGTATATAAGAAACGCGTATGGAAAATAATTAACGCAGTAAGTGGATGTACAACACGCTCGAAAGGTTCGAAGGATATCGCGAGGATAAAACGGTATGTTTTCGACGAAATTGTCCCGCGTTTTAAAGCCGGATTTGCCGTCGATCAAAACGCGAGGTTGAATTGAAAGTTACCTCGATTCTCTTATCCTCTCGGCCGATAAAACGACGTCGTGTGTATAGAACGCGTCGGTGTTTCGCGTTTGCGCATCGAGTGCCTCTCTCGTGTTGAAAAAAAAAAAACCAGACTAATTACGTATCGTCGGTACGCGAATCTCGAACGAAAGTAAAAGAGTTGCTTCGCCCTGGCGTCTGTACAATCACTTTTTAAAAATCGTGTGGCGATTACAAGTCTCGCTCGTCATTTTGGTTACTCGCCCACGCTGTTGAAAAAACGCACGGTACATCGGTCACTATTATTGTCACTAAATTTTTGCAACGAGCGTGAATCGCTCTACGTTTAGGTGTCGTTTCAATCTCGCGTTGATCTGTACAATATAGATTCTCTCTCTCTACAGCTATAAATTTTATAGCTATTTCATAAAAAGCGCATATCTCCTCTCATCGGTTCCACTTTCGCTCTCTCGATCGCCGTCACCGATTCTCACGGTGATGGAAAAATAAACATCTAAAAACTTAAAAAGAAGGTAAAGGGGGAGGGGGAGATGAGGCCAGTGCACGCGAGCCTGTGCAGCTAGCTTTACATTTAAGCACGATGGTCGTATCTTCGTGTCGTGTACATGTAACAATATTTTTTTTACTCTTACGCCGACGCCTACGATTAACCCCCCGACGATGCACGCGCACCTATCTGTACTGGGAGGCCACGCGATCCGATCGTCGGACACGGTAACGTCTTTTGTTTTGTCTCAAGTTCCGCTGTTTTTTTGTTTTTTGTTTTTTTTTTTGTTGATAAAAACCCCCCCGTCAAAGAGCGACGCAGCGCTCGTAACCGTTCGCTCGTCAGAATGACACGAATGCGTCTTAAAATAGATTTTAACAAGAGGGTGTCCTGTACAAAAGGGTTTGTTCGCTACGCAACAAATGTGATATCTCGGGATGGGCCCGTCCGTCGTTCGTGCCCCGAGCGCCGCCAGCGCGGGCGAATATTTACGAAAGAAGAAAAGGGATAGAGTCGCGTCGCGACGCCTTCCGCGCACTCCACAAGTGCACTCCTCGCGTGGCCGGATTAATTTCGCTATACACGCTAAAATTGAGATAGAGAGATAGGTAGATATAGAGATAGATAGATAGATATAGAAGAGAAAGATAGAAAGAGAGAGAAAAGAAACGATGAAAACGAAAACACGTATCATCTATCTTACGATTAAAACAACTAGAATCACTTGTGTACCATCACCACGTGGGATACGCTACAGTAATTAACGCATTCTCGGAGAACCAGGATAATTGAACCCGTGCGCAGAAAAGCGTCGTGTTCTCCTAACTATCATTCTCGCCTCCGCTCCATGTCGACCTAACGATAATAGCTCTTTACGTGTGTGGCAGTGCTCAGCGCCGACGAGATTCGTCTTTCCTTCGCCGTAAAAGTACGATTTCAAGAATCTTATGTCTCTCTTCTACATACGTAAGCTTATCCCTCGTGATAATTCAATCCCGTCGTAAATGTATGGCTCGCTGGGTAAATCTGAGATGACTCGAATGCTGGCGAAAATCGACGTGTCTCGTCGTGCGCTGCATGCGCAGATTTATTTTACGTGTAACGAACGCATCTCCTTCCTCAAACGCATACTCATGTATATTGTGTATATTTTATATATACATATACACACACACATATATATATATGTTTTTATGTATATATGTATATTCATATGTGTAACGCGCACGCGCGTGTGTATGTTGTGTATATAATCTAACTATACATATAACTATTTACAAGTGGAGTTTTCTAGAGCAGGACAAGGAGCGAGGACTCAATAAGAATTTTATTCGAGAGTAAGGGAAAGAGAGAAAGAGAGAATGATAGAGAATAGGATCTTCTGGAGATTTTCTGAGAAAGTTGGTTGTGTGTCGGCTTCTTTTTTTTTTAGGGCGGCGGCAGTCGGTACGGGAGTTGGTGGTATTTCGTCAACATGCTCTCTCCGCATCCCCTTCGCTTCCCATCGCGGAGGCGAAGGCTGCTATGTGCTGCGACTGTAAGCGAGGGAGTTGTTGTTGTTGTTGCTGCTGGGTGCGCGATTGCACCCTCGTGTCCGCGTCTCTCTCTCTCTTTGCGTGTCGCTCGAGCTGGTGCATGGTGCCGACGACGGGGGTGTTAAACGTCCGTGTACTTGCTCAATTTGTCGCGTAGCAACATGTTCTCGTTTTTTAACCGGTCCAGCTCCTGCCGCAGACCCATGTTCTGCAAATGAAGCGAGAACGTGAAAATTCGGTATCTTCTCTTTTAAATAAAACGAAGACATTTATTGTAATTAAAAATCGACAACTTTAGCAAATATCAATTTTGTATTTCAATTATTTTAATTATTAAAACGACAAATTTTTGAAATAACTGCATCAACCTCGATAAAAGAATTGATATAAGCAGTCCACGATGTAGCCAGTAGAGATCATTTTACTTTCGCTATATTTTTTTATTTCGACATTTTCGACGAGAAGTCTGAAGAAGCTCGATTTTGTTTAATCTTTTCCGAGTCGTCAGCCTTATATCTTTAAATATTTTCCGATAACTTTACGAAACACCTGTATTGGCAGATCTGTGGTGCGGTTTCAAATTTCCAGCCGTGAGAAAACTTACCTCTTTCTCGAGGAAGCCGGCCCTGAGTGCTATCTGGTTCTCCTTCATGCGACGCGCGTCTCGCGATCGTTTCGCTGCCATGTTGTTCTTCCTACGACGCGCCCAGTATTTGTCATCCTTCAAGTCATCCGGAACGAACTGCGGCCGCAAACGGAAGAGAGAGAGAAAGAGCATAAGAACATTAGAACAGCTCGTATTCACTTACGTATAGTGAAAAACGCGTATGGTTCGATGAGAATTCAATTTATTTCGATAGCCGGTAAATTTGCGCGAAAGCCAGCGACGCTAACGGCAATACAATTACATAGGCTTACCTGCTTCCGCGATTTCTTGATCATAGGTTGGGGTTTGAGCTCCTCGTCAGAGAAGGCCCGGGTACGTGGATCGAAGTCTCGCCCCGATGAGGCCATCGAGAGCGCTACAAGAGACAAGCCATATTGTATTCGTGTCGAGTCCTCGGAATCTGTTGCGCGGAAGGGGAACAATCGACAATGTCGACGTTAGTCTAGTTTACTGTGATGTGCTCGACAAGCTCGACGTCACCGCGATACGGATTCTGAGATAGCGTACATATATTTTCTTTTCTCTTTCTCGCTGTAAAAAATACGGCGACTATTATTTACGTCAGAGCGCCGCTTCTTCATACCTTTCTTTCGTCGCTCCGTTTTTACCTCGCTTACTTTCAATAAAACTTTCCATTTATGACTTTCTACTGCATTTCTCTCTTACTCTACGTGCTCTTGTACTTTATCTTTCTTAATTTACCAAATATTTCATACTTGTACGTAATATGTTATATATTGAGCATTCCCCGTTTTCTAAAAAAAAAAAAAAATATTCGATACCGATACTTATGGACGACATTAGAGGTCTGAAATTGTTATCCTTTTATATATGAAATCGCGTGAAATACACTTCTCAGGATCTCGATATCGCAAACGACAGCTACGACGAGGAATAAAAGTGAGAGAGCGAGAGGGCTATGTATTTTACTTACTAGAATCCGCGGGAGAGGGTGGGTTCAGGGTGTCCGGCGAGCAGCATTCGCTCGGCGACGGTGATCTCTCGCGCTTGGTAACTGGTTCCAAGTGTAGACCCGCTGGTCCCTGGTGTCCGGCGGCCTCGGTGTTGTTGATTTTATGAAGCTGGCTACCTTGCATGGCGCCTTGTCCACCGCCGGCCACACCGTCGACGGGGATGCCATTTTCGGAAAGAAACTCATCAAGATCGACGTACTGTCAACAGAGGTCTGAGGTGTCAATTCCGAGATGACTTCCCGGAGCTTTGTCAAGCAAGGTCTATCTTATAATTATAGGCGGACGTCTAGAATCCGCATTTTTAACGGAACCACAAATAATAATAATATATAAATAATTATATACGACTTTATATCGATACAATTAATAACGAGTCCAAAGATGTATTTTACGTTAATTTAGAATTGAGGAATCAACACTAAAGCATACAATCGGTTAATATTTTGTCGACGTGTACAAATTCTCTAAAGATCCGTAATATTAATAATATGAATATGTTTCACAACTGTGAAGTCCACACTCCATATACTGTTAATTTTGAAAAGGCTGCACATAAAATCACTTCCAAGCGGAACTTTTGAATGTTGAACGAAGAAATATGCTTTCGCAGAAAAATGTATTTCTATTTCATTTTGCACTTTATAATTTTGCCCCGTTTCTTTATCGAGATTCAAGCGGCGTATCGCGATGGAAGGAAACGCAAGCGGTGAAAGTTGGCGAAAGGTTTGCGAAGAATTTTATATGCTTTTCCAAAAATTACATTTATTTATACAATGTATTTGTAAACCGCACAGAAAGATTTTAATTATTAATTATCATACATATATGCCCATATATGTAGCAATCGTATATAAATTAAGACGATGAATTGTTCACGTAATATTACACGCAATTGAGTATTGCTTCCTTCAGAAGATAGACAAGTTTCGCTATTCTATAGAGAGTTATCTAAAAGGATATACTTTTTTTGATAAGCCGTTCAGATAGTTTGGTTAAAAATAATAATGGAGATAGAAAAGAATAGCCGAAACTTCCTCGATTCCGCCGAGGCATAACGGAGAAAGCGACCGCTATCGTCGCGATTGCACAGCGGCTTAATATTCGGCTTCCCGGTTTCTCGACCCAGGAAGGCGAATTATAACGGAGCAAGTGTTACAATGGTCCGCTACATTGATTTTTTTTCATTCAATAACGTGGCGTGCGTATACAGCAATTTCCGGGATGTACAATATATATGAGTTTTGCGGAGCGCAATTTCCAAAATCAATGCTATTCCAAAGAAAGATACAAATGGCATTAAAAAAGAGACAATAACGTGCCCCGTTATCACGGTAAGTAATAGAAAATCACACAAAGAGGACATAGATTGCGTCAACGAATAAATAAAATAGTATTACAATTCGAAAGACAAAACGGACGACACATGATTAGTTTTCAGTTTCCCGATTTTGTTTTATGGAATTTTGGGATTAAATTCAGCCAAATTATAGGCTTACCGTATCGCGCCTTTATACATACATGGTTTAATACCTTCAGGTCGGCATCGTAAGGCAGAGTTTTGTCCCAGAGATTGGGCCCCAGAAAAGCGGCCTGCGCTTCCACGTTGCCCCAAAGTTCGCCGTCGGCATCCTTCTTCTCCTCTGGCCCATCTTTACCTTGTTTCCCTGCAAATTCAATTTTGTTTGATTATATAACAATATTCGTAATTTTTAATTACAATTCTTACAATTAGACCGATAAATTATTTTTATCGATAATAATGACAATATTATGTACAAGATCAGCTGTTGTTCCATTGTGAGGAACCATTTCTTTTTTTTTTTGTATTATTCATGTATTTAGATCGCGCGGAATTTACGACCATTGGAGACAATCTTTTTTGACGGTAATCGGACACGTGGAGATACTGAGAATGCTATTGACAAGCAATCTATACATTCGCTTTTGTACAATGCATTCTTCTTTCCCAAAACTTCCGGTACGCAGAACGCGGTTTTTTTTTTACCGCAGCACTCATCGTACAATGTGTGACAATCTGCAATTGTACACATCTTCCGGTTTTCTATATGTCTTTAGTATTTTTTCGTACAATTCTCTTAGACCTTATGAAGTTATGCTAACATATTATTAACGCAAGAAATATGAGAAATATTACACATATAAACGTATAAAAGAACCTGAAACTTAACGAGAATTTTTACAAGGTTTTTATATGTTATTTTTGTATAATGTTATGCATTATTCAACTATATAACGAGGCTAAATTCTTCATTGCATTGTTCGTAATTGAAATTCTCACGCGTAGAAAACGGAGAAAAAGAACATGAGATAGTCGGTAGCCTTGAAGATGCTCATCCAAAAATAGTAGACTAGCCAAGAGCATCGTCTTTTCTATCCCGCCTTTCTTCGTCTTCCTCTCTATATTTCATACGATATTATTCTTTTAACGTATTACAGTCGACGCTCATCAGTTATTAATAATCGTGAATTGCATCAATATGCAGCCACGAAATTTGTCATGTAGAAGTATGAATAAATTTTTTGGTTAAACTAGATTAACCGCGTGAATTATACACGTGCAGCACTCCCTGCCATACTTCTAATATAGTTCTGATTGTCTGTATTATTAAGATTTGACAAAATCGTTCGGTTATTTAGGTTCGTGTTTCTACTCCGATAGTCGTCGAGTCTGTGGGGAGTGTCGGGTCGACTGTCAAGGCTATGAGAACGTGCCTTGTCATGCTACGATGTTAGTTACTAAGATATCGGATGGTAATAAAAAAAAAAGGATTATGATAATTATAATGATGATGATGATGACGACGGTAATGATAATAATAACAATTATTACATTTAAAATGATGATGATGGTGACTATAATGGTTATGATTGTGACAGTAACGATATTGATGACGTAGGAGGATCATAATAATCGACAGCTACGTCCCGTAATATATATACTAAACAATCGCAAAGGTGAGTGATGTATATGTAAAGCAGTGAAATTTAGATCGCAATATTCTCGGATAATTCGTCTTAAGAATATGTTTGTCAGAATTTCTTGTTCGAGCCTTATATCGCGTAAAGTATTATACCAAGGGCAACGTAACTCTATTCGACAGTATGCTAATGCCGTCGCTTCTCCACTTTTTTTTTCACTTCGGTTTACAGAATATCGGCTTGGCAGTCCGCTCTCGCGCGAACGGTTTGTCGAGGTTTTGCGGTTTCTGATGTGCCAACGCGCGCTCTATTCAACTATTGTTGCAGTCGTGCCTGTAAATTCAAGGCTACACTCACAATACCGCGTCCTGTCTCGACAAGTGTGTTGAATATACATTTACGCAAAATCGCGGGATAGGATATGTGCGATTGGACTCTCTCTTTCTCTCTCTCGAAAAGCATATCGCTAACAAGGCCTTTTTAACAGCGACAAGGCGCGCGCGCGCGCGCGCGCGTGAATACATCACGGCTATCGCGGCTGAAAAATTTTAATAACATGCGTTTGTGTATAATACAATAAAATGAATGCAGGAGAGGTATTCGGCCGATTACCGGTCGGCTAAAAATAATCGGCGTCCAAGTAGCGGCGATTAAAGGAGCGGAAAGTGAGATCGCGAGATCGAACCGCGCCTATGGCGTCGCCTTAGGCGCTCCCCGGCCGGGGATTTCTCTGCAGCGTACGATGGCTAAACAACTAAACAACGGCAGACCGTAATTTGGTTCAAGGCTGCTCGCCGGCCGGCCGGCTAACTCTGCGGAACTAATCTCGTGTTGCGAGGCGGCATTACCATCGGGTACCACCGGGAGAGAAACGGGCCGAGGGGGAGCACAGCCGTGTCTCTCGTTCGGGTAATCGGGCCGGGGGAACACGGGGGATCTTCCTGATTTTATCCATTCATTCACCGAGAGCTGCATTTCCGTACCCCCCCTCGCGTCTCTATCTCTCTTGCACTCGCCGCGTCCTCGTTTGTCCCCCGTTTATTTACAATAGCCGGCCGGCCTTTGGAGATAGCCACTACTATGCACGCGATACCGGAAACACGTGATTTCGATGCTGGAGTCGACGCAAATAGATTACTAGAATTCATACTTTTTACAAATTTATTTAATTCTTATCCGATTTTTCCGGTCAAATGCGGTCTGCATTTAAACAATTAATAATTGTTAGTTAATATCTATTCAACAAGAGGCTCATTTGATTATTTATTAAGTCTATATATATAACAATAGATACGGAGCAAATATAATAGATGTGGGAAATCATTGGCTGATTATTATAAATGTAAATAATGTTTAATTATTATTTATCATTAAATTTTAATTATTGACCCAAAATTCGTAAGTGGCTTGTAAAAGTTTTGTTGACATTACTAACGTTGGGGAAAATGTGCAATACAGACTAGTTCTTTTTCAGGTACATTTTGTTAATTGCACCGATAGATAAAAGTTGTGAAGATAACGGAGTTAATTACAGTGGACGGAACGCTCGTATCGCAGATACGTGTTCCACTTTTTAACGGAACTATGGCTGAACTATTATTTATGCCGAGAAGTAACTGCAAAATATTTTTACTACATTTAACAGTCACGAAATGTCTATATTTACGCTATTTTAATATATGTCATGCGTATCGAAATAAAATGATTGCACGGTCCCGTAATGAGATGCACGATTCTTCAAAGAGTGCGGCAATCACTCGAAGATTTGACATTGAAAAAGAACTCTACCGCATTTCTCGCGGCGGGTCTACTGGCAATTCGCGAAAATGATAGATCGGTTAATAAATCGTTGAGACTTAAACGCTACTTAAACGCCGAAGACAATAAACCGGCTGCACGACGAACGCAGAACCTGCGTTGCAGCGCTTCGTTATTTTAGATAGTCGCCTTGGCAGCGTGCTCTTAAGATTACACTTAAGTGACAAAACCGCACACATCATCGCCACGGTGTACCGCACATTCATACCCGTCGACGCGGATTTATCGATCTTCGCGAGCGCGAGTCTGCTGCGTTACGTTATTATTCGCGAGTGAAAATCTCAATTTCATCATTCCTCAATTTTTTCAAAGTTTTGTTTTCTATTTTTTTTTATTTTTTATTTTTTATTTTTTTAGCAATTTCTCATGCTAGAAAATTGACAAAATACCTTTGGAAACGTTCCGAGGATATATTCGATCGAAATGGTTTCCGCCTTTATTCTTTTTTCCCCCCCAAAGTCACCGCTCCAATACCGCTAGTCATTTACGTAATCGACGACACGCGAACGTCTAGGCGGGCAGGTGAACACGCGAGGGTGCCCGATGAATGCGTTTTTGGCATAACTCTCCCGCCATTCTTCTCGAAACTCTCGATAATAACTGTAACCGGCATCTAAACGCACGTCTCCGGCGCGGCCAATTCATTTCACCTGCCCCGTAAACAGTAGCTCCGTGTGCTCGAACGCTTCAAGAAAATCGAGCCACGCTCGCCGTCGTGGATTCGCTTTGATCTGTCGCTTTAGACGGAATTGTAAACTGTCAGTCAAAACCTAGCAGTTGTATATACGAAGCTGGAAATGTCGCTCATTCTGCAAGTGCAATTTTTTTTTCTCCGTCACAATGAACGCACGGTGGTGCCCGTCGATAAACCTTCCTCGATCAATCGAATCTACGATACACAATAGCTCGTGGGATAGGCCGCCCGTCCGAAATAACCGTCGACCAAGGCCGCAGGAAACCTTCTCCAAACAAATGCGATTGTTTAGCCGTCGCTACACTGCTACCGCGACTCCATCGTTGCGATCTATTTCCGTGATTGAGATCGACGAGATCACCATAATATTCGTTTATAACACTGTAAAGCTGTACAATGTATTCCGGTGAAGCTAATCAAACTTAGATTTAGATAAGCATCTATCGAGGGACCTCGAAATAATTTTAGAAACATTATTGTTAATTTTTTTTAATATATAAATTTTTTCTGCATAATAGGAATAGTAGAAGATATTAATTTTGGACTTCAAAATCACTATCTACAGAAGAGTAAATCGTAAAAGGACTAACGCAAGTCTCAACGTAATAAATTACATGCTGTTCGATAATTTGATTACTTCGTCGGTAATTTTGGACTTCGACAAAATCACTATACCTATATACAAAAGAGTAAATCGTAAAAGGATTGATGCAAGTTTCAACGTAATAAATTATATCCTGTTCGATAATTTAATTACTTCGACGGTTCCGCGAAGGGAAACAACTCGGTGAGATTATAAATTCAATCGGAGCAACGTGAAGTAATCACGACGTCAAATAACATGGACGTACAAACGAGCATAATGTCAAGCACTGAAACAGCACTTTCTTGCGGTTGGCTATACCTGGAAGGGAAAATCAAGAGGCTAACACAACGCGGAACGCAGGATAGACGGGAAGAATAACTTGACTTACGATCTGTAAATCTCGTGCCGTTGTCAGTACTCAGATGATTTGTGCGTGCGGTAAGCCACCATCGTCCCTTCTCTGACGTACGGCCCGTAACCGGCATTAACTTAGATTCTATTAGAGACGCGAGAAGGTCTCTCCTCTCTCGCAATTGCAGGGTACACCCGGTACGTGGCGCGGCGTTACGATCGCGCGATGAAAATTGCACGGATGAAAACTCAAGTTCTCGCGGTACCTCGTTATT